TATATGTATATACCCCATTCCTCTCCAGAAGCAATTAGCGCTGCACATCAACCTGCAAAAAAATGGTGTGGGGAGGGAGGGCAGTTGCGGGTAAAAAAAAAATACCAGGGAGTAAAACATAGGTTTATTTTCAAAAATATTAACCTGCCCAAATTACAATGAATTAAAATGAGAAGAGACAACACATATAGATCAGGTGAGAAGGCTTCTACAAATAAATCAGGCAAAAAAGAACAAAGACTTGAACGCGGTTGATAGCTGTGAGGAAACTAATTTGGCTGGAGCCTAGGAAGGAAGTAACTTGGCTGAAGGCCACACATCATTGAGGGAAGCTCTACAAAGCTGGCAACCAATTGGATCTAGGCTAAGGAGAGCAGATGGTCTATCCAAGGCCAAAAATGAGGCTTTAGTCCCAAGTTCTTCAAATCTAAGGCTTTGAAACTTATTGAGTCACTTACCTCTTATTTTTGATCTACCTCCTTTTCTTTTTTTAACAGTTAAAATTTTGGAAGACAATGGACTTAAGGAGGGACAAATACTTTTATAGTGAACATCTGTTAGCTATAAGATCCAAAATTAGAACATACCAAATCCCAGAAACTCTGTGTGTGCCTTTCTCAACCTGAAAGCCTTCCTCCCTCAAGAGGGGATTGCTCTTCTAATTTTATGGTGATGATTTTCTTGCTCTTTTCTAAGAGTTACACAACTCTAACATACATTTCTATACAATTATTGAACTTTATATGAACAGAAACACTGGATGCATTTTTTCTGCTTCTTTTTCTAAATATAATGTTGTAAAATTCACCCATGTTACTAATCATGGTCTTTGACCATTTTTATTACTCTGTGATTGCTTAATTATAAGAACATGCCGGTAACCATTTTACTGTTGATGGGCATTTGAATTGCTTCCAGTTTGGGACTTTGCAGACACTATCGCTCAAAGTCCTACATAGGTCTTATTGTACATATGTATGAGTTTCACTAAGATATACACATAGGAGTGGGACTGTTCTCCCATCCAGGACAGTATCTTCAATTTTAGGAAATGATGTCAATATAAATAATTTCCAAGGTATTCATATAACTTGCACTCCTTCCAACAATGTATGGGAGTACTCCTGCCCCACATTCTCACCAACACTTGGTGTCTTTTTAATTTATGCAGTTCTAGTAAGTGTGGAATAATCTCTTACTGTGGTTAAATTTCCATTTCCTTAACTCTAGATAAAATTGGCCAGTTTTTCATATTTTTATTAAACATTTTGATATCTTTTGCAAAGTGAGTAGGCCATCTGTGCATTTTTCTTTATTGGATTTCTCTTATCAATAGTGGATTTGTACAAATCTGGGATGAGTCCTTTGTCAGTTATATCTATGTGAAAATATCTCTTCCTATTTGTCTTTTTACACTTTTAATGGTGTCTCGATGAATGGAGTTTCTTGATTTTAACGTGGTCACGTTTATCACTCTTAATGTATCATTAGATTAGTACTTCTGTAGCTTAAGAAATCCTTCTTTACCCTAGTGTCTTAGGTTGGCCACTCTGGAGAACAGCCTCTGAGAACAAGATTTGCATGCAGGAGGCTTAGTGGGGAGTACTCCCAGGAATCAGACCTTTAGGGAAGTAAGAAAAGTAGGTTTGTTCAGTGTGGAGAATTGCACTGTGATCCAGTTGCTCATTAGTCCCACAGGGAGCTCTGGAATGGTGCTACAGAGTTCTGCTGAGGTTGAGGTGAGGGAGCCAGACTGTTACGCCCTGTATCATTCATAGAGGAGATCAGATGTGAGTAACCAGCAGCCAATACTGGTGGCAGCTGAGCAAATGAGTGCCTCTATCCTGTGGTACATCATAACAGCCACTACAGTTTACCCCTGGTGCCAACTGAACCTACTGGCTTTGTCTTTTTTTTTTATTCTTATGTTAATCCCCATACATTACATCTTTAGTTTTAGATGTAGTGTTCCATGATTCATTGTTTGTGCATAACACCCAGTGC